CAGCTGAGAGTGGAAAGTGAGACAAGAATTCCATTGATATACTTAAGTCTAAATCTAAAGGCTTGAGAACCAGATGAGCTGATAACTCCCAAAGAAAAGCCAAAAGACTGCAAATCAATGGTAGAGCTTGTGTAGGTCCCTGGTCCATAGTCCTGAGGACCAGACACTGATGTTCAAGGACAGAAAAAGATGGTCATACCAGCTCAAAAAGAATAAGTACATGCAGCCTGAAGGTAAACAAAGTAAAACTAAATATGAAATGTGGTTTCTAACGTTTTAAAATACATGGAATGTTCATTATAAACTCTTAGCAGACCCACGTTCCGTTGATCCATTCTTTTATTATTCCCATTAAGCCAAAGAGAATTTGTCTCTTTTTGACTAATTTTTATAATGATGAAATGGAAGCATATGCTCTGTGGTGCAATCTTTCTTTTGTTTGGAGTTATTATCCTTAAGTAGTTGTACAAAGAAGTTTCAATTCAACATGTCAGTTTGTGAGTACAATGCAGATTAATGTGTCACCCCTTTCATCATTTTCCTCCTCTCTCCTAATCTTATCCATTCCCTCAATTTATCTAATTCCATTCTCACATATGTACATTGATATTATAACTGACTATTATATCTCTCTCCCTTACTTCCTCCCACTTTGCATCTGTTCTAGCTTCCTGTAGGGTCATATGCATATATACACAAACATGTTAACTAAAGTAAAGCATATATGGAGAGGATTCCAGTGGTGTAACTCCTTTGAACAACTAAACATTTAACATAATGGTAACATCTTTCTTCTACTTTTTTAAAAAGCAAAACAAATGAGAAAGTAGATGTCTGAAAAGCCTGGGAAAATTCCTACATCAATGGTGAAAAACAGAATCAGCAGTAGAGAGCAAGGACTTTTTTTTTTTTTTTGTCGGTCATGGGGCTTGAACTCTAGGCCTGGGCGCTGTCCCTCAGCTCTTCAGCTCAAGGCGAGCACTCTACCACTTGAGCTACAGCACCACTTCCAGTTTTCTGGTGGTTTGTTGGAGATAGGAGTCTCACAGTCTCTCCTGCCCGGGCTGGCTTTGAACTGCGATCCTCAGATCTCAGCCTCCTGAGTAGCTAGGATTACAGGCGTGAGCCACCAGCGCCCGGCGAGCAAGGATATCTTAAAAACACATATCTGTCCTATTGCCAATGTGAATTTTTCCTTTATCTGAAAAAGAATGGTCTTTAAGGAACAGTCACTTGTTCATCAAAAATGTATTGCAGAAGTTTCAACCAAGGAATGGAATTAGAGCAGGAAATCAGAATGATTTTCATTTTCTCTGTGTCATAATAAGTAATGAATTCTCCTTTATAGTGTTTCTGTTACCCACTGAAGGAAGTTTGCCTTTCATCTTTTTAAATTTCAAAATCAATGAGAAATCATTAAGACCAATTGATTATAAAGAAGGCAGTTTTTTCCAAAGTCTTCGAAGCAATTGATAGTGTGTGTGTGTTGTGTGTGTTGTGTGTATATGTATATGTGTTGTGTGTTTGTGTGTGTACATGTGTGTGCACTTGAACTCGGGGCCTGGGAACTGTCCCTTAGCTTTTTCACTCTACCACTTGAGCCACAACTCCACTTCCAGCTTCTTGATGATTAATTGGAGTTAAGAGTCCTCATGGACTTTTCCTATCCTGACTGGTTTTGAGTTAGAGTCTTCAGATCCTCAGCTTCTGGTGTAGCTAGAATCACAGACATGAACCACCAGAGCCCAACTACATCTATGATATTTTGCACAGCAAAACTTTTCTTTGTGTACTCCATTTAAGTGAAAGAGGACTTCGAAAAAAAGTCAAAATGAAATAATCCTCCCAACAGAACTCTGAGAAGAATTAGATAATACGTATTTTTCCTGACACAGTCTTCTTAAATGATTAAATTACTTTATACTACTTTCATTAACACAAATATTTTTGAATTTTGACTCATTCATCTTCTGACTTATAAAAGGAAATATTTAAATAAGACCTGACAGAAAGGGAAAGGTCTCTGATCACTGTTTCCATGTTCCTAAACCATTTTCTAGGTCCATATGTTTACAATGTCGACTTTCCACTAATGGCAGTGGGTTTAAGTGATTAAGACAAATGCTAAAGAAGGCTTATCAGTGTGTCTTCAGCAAGGGGGATCTCTCAAGAAAAGGGCTTGTCCACTTGCTATGGTTTTCCTAATGCCATCCTTGACTTCCTTGTTCCTCAGACAGTAGATGATAGGGTTGAGCATGGGAGTGAAGACTGCATATATTGCTGAGATCAGTTTGTTAGAATTAAATGAAGCAATGGCCCGAGGTCGGACATACATGAAAATCACAGCAGTGTAGAAGATGATGACCACTGTAAGATGAGATGCACAGGTAGAGAAGGCCTTTCGCTGTCCAGTGGCTGAGGGTATGTGTAGGATGGTAGAGATGATGAAGACGTAGGAAAGAACAGTGGCTGAGAGAGGAAACACAAGTATGACAATTGCTAACACAAAGTCTACTATCTCTGCCATAGATAAGTTCATGCAGGCCAGTTTGAGAATAGGTGACACGTCGCAGAAAAAATGATTTAAGATGTTATTGCCACAGAAAGAAACCTGGGAGATAAAGTAAACTTTGGCCATGGAGATGGTGAAGCCACTAACCCAGGAACTAATAGTCAGCTGTACACAAAAGCCTGTGGTCATCATGACAGGATAGCGAAGCGGACAACATATGGCCACATAACGGTCGTAAGCCATGGCAGCTAAAAGCACACATTCAGTGCAGGCAAGTGAGATGAAGAAGTAGAGTTGGGTCATGCATCCCAGAAAGGAAATGGTATTGGGATGAAGTAGGAATCCAGTTAGCATCTTAGGGACTGTGACAGATATATACCAGGCTTCTAGAAAGGACATTGTACCCAGAAAATAGTACATGGGCTTGTGCAGGGACCCAGTGACCCATACAGTGAGGATAATGACCAAATTCTCTAACAGCACCAACAGGTAAGTGATGAGGAAGATGAAGAAGAGCAGAATCTGCAGCCAAGGGGCAGTAGGGAAGCCCACAAGGATGAACTCGCTAATGTTGGTGATGTTTTCTTTCCACATGTTAGGATCACCCCAAGACAAAACAATTTTTAATGATAATAACACCAATTAAAGCGGAAGATCCACATTAGCAGCACAGAGCTCTTAGGCTGAGCTGCGGGCACTTTGTTATAAGACATTAGTTCCTAGTTACGATGGTAAATCACGGAAGGCTGCAAGTCCTCTCCAGAAAAAGTCAAGCTCATCAAAGCAGAATGATGAAGTCAGATTATGATTTAGGTCTTTGGATCTGGGTCAAGAAGTCTTCAAATGAGAGTAGGAGAAAATACTTTCTTTGTCAATTTCTTGATTTCAGAGTCAGCTCCTAAAGCAAGATAGTTGAAATAAGGTCCAGTAAAGTAAGGGAACAGGGAAGTTCACCTGGAGAAAACAAAAGCATTCATCCAATAGAAAAAAAGAGTAGAAGAACCTGCTCAGAAGAACCATTAATTCTGGCCTATTTGTCAGCTGTGTTGGGTGTCTTTTGAAGTCCCAGGTAATGATTCTCTGCTTATATGTAGAGTCATGGCTTAAAGAGTTAATGAAGAAAGGGCTACACTTTTAGAATACTTGAACACTATTTATATTTATATGGCTCCTATTAATATAAATAATAGCCTCTCCATTTTCCCTCCTTCCCTTCCAACCCTTCTCTGTGTGTAATACTTACTGTGGTTATCTCTTTATCTATGGGGCCTATGTTCCAACGTCCCTAGTGGAAGTTTGAACCTGTGGGCAATAGCAAATCCTATATATACTATGTTTTACCTATACATAAATAGCCATGGTAAAGTTTAATTTATAGTTTAAGCATAGACGGTATTTTCACAATGAAAAACTTATTAATAAAAAAGAAAGTTGATGGTAAATATAAAAAGGCATAGCATGATTTCAGCAACTATAGCTAATAATAAAATAAATTAGCAATAGTAATATTCAAAAATGAAAATCATCTCTCAAAATTGCTTGTTGTACTATATCTCTTAACAACGTTGGCATATATTTTCTTCCTTTATTAACTCAATGACTTACTTTTCCACTTATAGTGAGTAGTTTATAGCTTTTTTGCACATTCTAATTGTCAGTATTATTGGTGTTATGTTAATGGGGTAATTATTATGTAAAATAGGGGTGTTGGAACAAAAGTTCTGGGACAGTTTATCTGATAACCAAAGAACAATTAGATGACTAAGAGAAGAAGAGTACATAGAGTATGTATATCTTGAACACTGGTGATTCATGGGAAAGTAGGAAAATTGATTTTATCATGTTACTCACAATGGTATGCAATTAAAAACTTATGCAGTTTATTTCTGGAATTCTCCATTTGATAGTTTGGAACTGTAATTAACTGTGTGTAACTGAAACCATGGAAAGCAAAAGTATAGATAAGGGGGAAAATTCATATATCTTATATATTCATAAATACAACCACACACACACACACACACACACACATATATATATATATATATATATATATAAACACACTTATATAAGGAAAGCACAGCAAATACATTGGAACAAATAATTGGAAGGCCCAAATTCAAGAGTATGATTTATTTATGCCTAACTTGTAACTTGTGCCATAACAGTTTTTTAGGTGCTCCAAGGAAGAAGACATGCCCTCAGATGGGAATTTACTGAACTTTCCACTACCAAATCATGAATGTCCACCTTCTGATATCTCGCTTATTCTGTCCTTCTCATCTTCTCTAGATCGCATTTTTTCAAGAAATTAAACAATATTTATTTAATTAATGTCTATTCCATCTTTTTCTGTGAAATTCATCCTTTCATTAGAATTTATTGGAATCTACAATGTAATAAACATTATTTTGGATATTTGAAGTCACTCAAGTAACAAAACACACAAAGACAAGAAAATCTATGTAGTTATATCTGAGAGGGAGAATACAATAAATGCACTTAGAATATAGACTGGGACCACTGGGTGCATTGCTCTAGAATCCCATTTTCTGTCTTTGTTTCTGGTACATATATATATATATTTTGTGATTTATTGTCAAAGTGATATACAGGGGGATTACAGTTACATAAGTAAGGCAGTGAGTACATTTCTTGTCAAACTTGTTACTCCCCGATTTTTCTCCCATTTCCCCTCCAATCCCTCCAAAGTTGTACAGATAATTTCCAACATATTGTCTTAGAAATGGTGGAGATTGGAAAGATTGTGGTTTGAGGGCAAGTTCAAATCAATGCTGTTTTAAAATACATATGTGATGGGCATAGATGATGCTTTTCTACTACTGCTACATTGCAGACAAATTCAAGTCCTTCCCATCTTATAAATGTTCATTTAAATTTTTTTAATTTATTGTTATTGTAAAAGTAATGTACAAAGGGTTTCAGTTAATTACATATGCCAGATAAAGAGTACATTTTTTGAACACTATCACTCCTTCCCTTGCTCTCTCCCAGTTCTGGGACATGATAAGTTACACAGATCTCTAGGCATTCACACAGAATGAGACCAAAGAAGGATATTCTTAGGAGAGGATCACAAAGGCACAATACTTATGTTCATCTGATCATATAAAGTAATATTTGTCAAAATGAACTCCAGGAAATGCAAACGGGGCGGGGGGTTGTTTGTTGCTGTTTTGCATTATTTTCCTTTTGTCTTGTTTATTCATTTATCTGTCTTTGGAAGGGTAAGAGGGAGCACAGAAATAATGGGACCAAGGGTGAACAAATGCAACTGTGATACTCACTGGACACTATGTTGAAAATGAACTATACAAAATGCTCATTTTAAATTAGCAGCATGCAATCCCGGCACTGAGGAGACTGAGACAGTTTGTGAATTTGATGCCAGTCTGGGCTATAAACAGGAACAAAAAACCAATAAAAAATAATTTCCCACTCTATGGGATGACTCCTCACCCTTCTCTACATCTTTTAAGCCTGCCATGGATTAGGTAGTTCCAAACACCGAGGGTGCCAAGATAAAAAAGACACTGGAGTTATTTTTCAAAAGATACAACGAAACCGAGAACTGTAACATAGTATAACATGAATTACATTAGAACATTGAGTACTGTGAAAATAGAGACTAAAGCATTCAGAGAGAAGATAAAATTTAGACTGGATGAAGCATTGCAGAGATTTGGAGGGAAAACCAAAACCAGAAAACAAAAAGGTTATAGAGAAAAGAGATGGAAAGTTAATGATGGGATGCTTTAGAATTTGATTAGAAAGAGCTTGTGGAATGACCCAGAACAAAAGAGTGAGAGAGAGAAAAAAGAGTGGTGTTTCCTATGAATCTCTCAGACTTTTATATTATAAAAGTCTTCTTAGACTTTTATCATATAACCTTCTGCTAATTCTCCCCATTTCCAATCCACACGCGAGATGTTGCAGAAAGATTGCCTTTGGTCATACTGTAGCAAAGGAGCTGAATCTCACATCTGTGTTCTCTACTAACAGACTGAGCTCCTATTATATTTAAGCTTTAAATTTTATGATAGGATGGTATTTCTCTACTGCCCTGGATACACAGGTGAAGATACATGGGATTACTGTCCTGCAGTCCCTCTTGGCCAAACACTCACCCACCTTTTTTATTTGGCCTTCAACATCTTCACTACTCACCTCTGCCTTGGCTATCTCCAAGCTTATATAGTCTCTAATAATAATAATATCTACCACTTGCTAGGTATATGTCTTACAACATAATATATATCAACCCCATTTGAAGACTATCTCTTCACTCTCACAACAACCTAGAAAGATAGATTTTACTGGTCCTGCACTCTTGTAAATAGATTGACTAAATTCATACAAGTAAAAAGTAGCAGATATGGAATTATAATTTAAGATTGTCATTATGCAAAATCCTTTTTTCTACTATGCAGTAATTTAGCTTTCCTTATTGCTTTCCACCACTGTCTATCCTGCATCACATTCCTAATTCATATCTCACATAATATTCATACATAATCTGTTCTTTTCTATCCTGATCTCTTTCTGATCTCTCCTTTTGACATTTGAAAGAAGTCTTATTTTGGTCAAGGCTTTTTTTTTCTGTCCAAATTCCACAGCAATGAATTTACCCTTTACACTCAAACTGACCGGTTATGATGCATCCAAAATTTTCAAAACCTAGAAAGTTTAATTGTTTATCATGACACATAATTGATGTAGCAATTTGTGTAACAATTAAGACTTCCTAGTACTTTATATGTTCTTCACATAACCCTAGCTGAAACCCTATTGTATCAATACTTTGAATCTACATCATACACACCGATCTCTGATCCAGTCATTTACTAGCTGTGCCCCACCTATTGCCTGACTCACAGCATATTTATTAGAGTAGAATGTTGACACAGAGGAAGAAGGGGGCCGTCAAAGTCATAGGATTTGATGTATTTACTCAGAAAATGCTCTAAGAGAGAAGTAGATTTTCTCAGGAAGGGAGTGGAAGCTAAATGATCTAGGGGGATAGTGAAAACGAAAGGAAGAAGTTTTAGGGTGGAAGATTGGGTTAAAAAGTAAAATACAAGCCATAGAAATGGTAGCAAAGGGCTGGGAAGGTGGCTCAGTGGTAGAGTGCTTGCCTTGCATGCATGAGGCCCTGGGTTCGATTCTTCAGCACCACATAAGCAAAAAGAAAAAAGCCAGAAGTGGCGCTGTGGCTCAAGTGGTAGAGTGCTAGCCTTGAGCTGAAGAGCTGAGGGACAGCACCCAG